AGAGAAGGTAACATAGAAGGAAAGTAATTGTTCTCAGGAGGAAATAGTTTCAAAATAAACACGAAATGGATATTTTCCGGATTCAATAGTATACTGCACGTAGCTTAGGTAGTTGTGACACGTCTTCATATTGAGCTGGTTTCACTGAATCGACATGCAGAGGAGTGATTCATTGCAGCATTGAAATGGATAGAGTTTCACCAACGAAGGGCATACATAATCGTGAAAAATCTCAGGGACCTACCCATCGATCGCACCGTGCAGTGCAAAGCCGTAGCTTTTCAGTTTATCATTTTGGTCGATGTGCGCTGCGTAATTTGGTCCGGGGTTCCGATATAATCGTCATCTCAAATGGTGACGCTTCCTTCCTTCTACTCCCTCTAGATCTAAAAGGCGTTGCCCCCCCCCCGGAACCATATCCCTGATACATATTTGTACAAAACAATCAGCTGTTCGAATTGCCACAGAAAATTACAGTTGAAAACCGCTAGTAAAACACTGAAATGTAGGCAGTCCCCATGCGTTTTTATACAACTAACAGGTACCAAAAATATAATCGAGGGTCTACATCTAAAAGAAATGCAATAAGTTAAGAGAATGAAGTTTAACAACTCTGAATTTCACACGGAAAAGTCGATGAATATTTTGTTTTCTTGTCACGCACGTCTGCACAAATATATTTGAGAATATTCAGTGAGTTTCAGATTGAATCAAGACCGACTGGTCACTACGATTATGGATGGATCCGCAGAAAAAGAAATGCATATTACCGTCCATCAAGCAATTTTCAAACAGACATAACACCTTGGAAGAATAAGTCCCTATCGCGATAGCAATCTCTGTCGCATTCCTCTGCATCCCAAGTTGTGGCCACTGCCTTGTAGCTCTGTCTGGAATTGAAGGATAACCAATTAACAAGAAGAGTGGTGACAAATAAAGACCACAAAACTGAACAATGTGAAGTAATTATCAAATGTAAAACTACAGTACCACTTGCCTCCAAACTTGAAAGAAACCTTGATATCGATAGGTCGTCGGGTCTGTTTCTCCGCAAATTCAGTCGACGAAGAATCCGATGTAATGTTCGCATGCTGTATAATAGTTCAAGTACACAGAAAGGGACAAAGGTTATGTATTTCTTTGGAACAATTGATACAGTTGGGATGCACAGGATTATAAAAAGTGCATTCCCTTGCTTTATTTTGTGGAATGGAAACTGGTCGTTGTTAGATGAATTCCCTTTATTGGCATTTGATTGCACAAACCAATATAGTCGTTTTGTTTAAAAACCAGAGGCTTGACCACGCCGGTTGTCTGGCGCAAATGTATAGACCGTATCTGTCAACGCCGGTTGTCTGTGTTCCAGAGGCCTGTGGCCGTCATTGTTCGTTGTGCAGTGCAGCTATACTTCCATTTTGAATTTGGTATCGATTTCATGACTTGTAAATGAATAAATCATTGAGTCCTGAGTCCATGTCCAACTGAAGTTAGTTTATCACATTTTCTGCTAAAAACCAATTCGCGCAAATGTTCCAAATTTGTGTCTGTGGTACCATTACCACTTTATAGTCACAGTACCTCAAAGTAAGGTTGTGCCGTATTTCAAGAGTTGTGCAGATTTCGTTGTAGGTATATCCTGCTTGAAAGAAGTGGCGAACCAGGTCACTTCGCAGTGGAAAAACATTAAGGTTAAACAACACATTGATTTCTTTGGGCTATTCTGAGACCCGCAACTACCCCAAACATAAATCTAACACAAAAATTGAAATGGGTGTAAAAATTCTCGGAGAAACGAATCATCAAATGAATAAAAAAAATTATATAAGTAGCTGAAAGTGGCACTTTTATCACTGCATAAAAGCTCCTGCATGTAAAGGATATTATCATCAGCTCGCTGAAGAAATCCTGGTTGTCCAGGATGAAGTAGCGTGTAACGTTGCATTCTCTGAAACGAAAACTGCAGGCACGAAAGCATGAACTGCCATACAAACAAAGGGCATAGCAATCAACGGGATGTGTCAAACAGATTGGTTTGGGCTGATATAACTTGCAGTAAAAAAAAATTGGAATTCGAAGAAGAATTACGTCATGCAGACACAAACCCATGAAGACAAAAACATATATATGTTCAAAAGCAAACGTCTATATCCTCAACTGTTTACCAAAAAGCTGTACGAGATTTATGCCGAATTCCCTGGGAGAAACAGAACGACTGGTATAAAAAAATTTCTTTCCGAAAACTAGGTCATTCACCCATAGGCCTAACACATATCTCAGGCCAATTTCTATGTAAAGGGTACACACATGTGGACACCCATCTAAGTACTCAAGGACTACGTAATGTAAAAGTTAGTCGAGGAATTTGTCATGAAGCACTGACCACTCCAGATACAAAGCCATAAAAAGACATAAAATAGAGTAGGCCTATATACTACAGACATTTTACATATCCATATACGTACAGCTCAGAACCAAACTGGAATAAAACCTCCCGTAGATGCATCTTTGTTATAATATAACACAGCCTGTGTGTGTTTCTCGTAACCAAGGTCAGTGGTTCCGTGCATCAAAGGAATTTGTGACTTATACATGAGATCCGCGGGGCGAGA